GGTGGGGTGGGTGGCGCGGCGGATCTCCCGCCGCTCCGTTTTACGGCGGATGGTTCGCCGGACGCCCGTCGTCGGGGCGCTGCAGCCCGTCAGGACGTCAGTTCTTCATCGCACCGCGCCACGAACGGACCTGGATCCCTCAGGCGGGCGTGCACACACACATATATATATATATATATATATATATATATATATATATATATATATATATATATATATATATATATATATATATATATATATATATATATATATATATATATATATATATATATATATATATATATATATATATATATATATATATATATATATATATATATATATATATATATATATATATATATATATATATATATATATATATATATATACATATACACGCACATACACACACCCACACACACACACCCACACACACCACACACACACACACACACACGCGCCCGCGCGCGTCCTCCTGCATGCGGACCAGCCTCGCGCGCGAGACTCGGTCCAGCGAGCGGGACTCACTCGCGGCGACCATGAGTGAATCGCGCCCGCGCTCGTCTCCGTCGGCCACTCACCGATGATGAGCGGCAACGCGCGCGACAAAGAGTAACGCGAGTCGTCGTTCCCGTGCTTGCGACCGCCGCGCGAAGGTCGTCGACGGTGGTCGAGGGTGAACAAGTGAGATCGGGTCGACTCGAGCCGACTGGAGTGTACACACGCGGTACACGAGGGCTATCGACGAGAGTCTCAGACCTGTCAGGAAGGAGCGCAGGAGAGTACTCCTGTCACTGAGAGTTCATCGCGACGCGGCCCGGGAAGCAGTGTCAGAGACAGATCAGTAGTAAACGGCGGTGTATCGCGGACAGTAGTGAAGGACAGTCGCTAGCGGACGCGAGTAGTGACAGACCGTAACGCTTGGCCCGAGAGAGAGTGGTAGCGGACAGTGCACGCACGGCGCGCGCCGCAGTAGTCGCGGACGTCACGCGGCGGACCATCGGGGCTGCATTGTATACGACGGTATCGCGCCGTGTGCGGACTCGCCGTGTGATAGAGGCGAGGGCTGGCTCGACAAGGGATCTCGCGGCGGATCAGCTGGTACCGCGATCCACCGCGTTCTATCGCGGTGGATCGACGCGCCGCGCGTCGTACTGCACCTACGGTGTGGCATGTACCCGCGCGACAACGGCGAACATGCGAGCACGCTTAATCCACGCACGCACGCGTAACCGTCGCGGCTCGTCACCAAGGAGGATTCAATTAAATCTCCCGCGAGGAAGGTCAAGTACTCCGCGCAGCGACGACGCGGGGGATCCGAGCTTTAATTAAAACGCCCGCGGGATTCCCATTATCGCGCTCGCTCGCAAGCTCGCTCGCGCGCCCCGTATTCCGGGATTAATTAGCCGCGTCGGGAACGAGAGCGCCGGCCAGGTCGTCGACGGAGGCGAAAGGGTGATATAGGAGGACGTGATTGCCGGTGGCGTGGCAAGCCTCGTGTGTCGTCGTCGTCGTCGTGCCTCGTAATAACGCGTCGCGCGAGGAAGAGAAAGAGGAAGAGAGTTTTGTGTCAGCGCGGTGTCGTGTGGGCTCCTTGAGGCTCCCCTCGGAGAGCTCTCCTCGTCGTCATGGATCATCTGATTGTTATTCCCGTTCGTTGGCCGCGCTGGCTCGTGTAGCCGCCAACGCAACGACGGCACTCTCGGCCGTCGCGAGTGTCTCTTTCTCGCGAGTGACAGTTGGTGCGGTTGCGTGAGGAAATAAGCCGTCGTTTCGAAACAAGCAGGAGAAAGATAAGCGAGTTTAAAAAGGGTTGTCTTGTAGCCGACGTGCCGCCGGAGACGATGTCCAAGTAGTACTCTCGGCGATCCGCGACAGGTAGGCGAAAGAACGATTGGCGAGCTCGTAAAGATCGCCGATTCTCTTGGAATTCTCAAGAGAAGTATAGCGTCACAAAATTACAGGAAAAAATAGGGGAAAGGATATGACAAAGCGCCCCTTTTTCAAGAACTTTTGATATTTTAGACTTTCGCGGCGTTGTTCAACATTGTTTTCCGGGTTTGAAACGCGTCTTCCTTGTGTTTGGTACCGACGTTTCGTTCACTTCAAGAAGCAGAGCAATTTGAAACTCCAATTAATAATATATATCGAAAATGTTCCAAATATGGAAGTATTCCAATTAATGATACACTGATCTAAAAATAGATTGTCGAATAGATTGAAAATATAAAATCTCGATATTATTCTCGTAATTGGGACATAAACGATCTGAAAGGTTGCAGTCTCAATAGTATGTGCTTATTAAGTTTGCAACCGTTTGAGTCGTTTATCTTTCAAGTCCGACTACGAGAATATACATATAATATTGAGATTATATATTTTTAATATCTACTTGTCCTAAGCTTCAAATCAATATCATTTATCATTTATTGGAATATTCAGAGTTTTACAAAATCTCATCAAAAACGAGCAAAACTCGGTCGCACTCGAATGAGTATTACTCCGTGAGAAATCATCTTTCAATTATTAGTTTCAAGGATAAAATGTTTCTGCCATAAGAAACCATTGTTGGATTTTTTTATAACACCTTCACTCTGCTATCCTCCCAAAAGTGAGGAGGTGATTTTTGTAGTGAAAATTGTGCATATTTCAGCAGGATTTCATAGAACTGGAAAAATTCTTTTTGTGTCAATTTTATCTGTATAGAATCATCAACAATCGGTCTTTACTCTTCAAAAAAAAAGTGCGTACGATTTTTCTTCGCTGAGATGTATCATATACACTCTAAAGTTATCTATGCGTTCTCATCATCTACCGCCATAATCTATTCATAAGTTCTAGTTTTAACACATTAGAACAACCGCCGACGCATTCTCATACCTATGAAACGTGAAGGGGCAACGAAGCACTTTCCTTCGTCACTAGTAATTGTGTTTCAACGCGTCGTACATATACATAACGCGTTAACAATTCAATGGCAACATATGCGTGCTACTTGAATCGTAAAACCTGAAATGCAACGCAATATCTTTGCGCCAGTGGTGGTTCGAAAGGCACGAGTCACGGTAGCCATCATTCTAGCATTAAACATTGCGAATTTCTACGAGAGGATAATTCACAAGCTGAGAGAGATGTAGTTTATCGTCAACAATCGATATTAGCTCCTCCTGAAACTAGATTTAACTTATTTTTCAAGCAAACAATTCGCTTAATATCCACTATAATTCCCATTACAATTTAGTGCTATGGCGTGCTGCAACTCCAGCGCCATTTCTATTAATTAATATTACATGCATCATATAGCGGTGCGCTGAATTTATTATAAAGTATAATGCATTATAATCTACTAAACACGCTGCTACATAACGCCCGATATCGCTGAGCTCTCGTGAAACAGCCACCCCCATTTTTCGCTGCATTGTCGCGCGTGCGGGAGCAGCATCGATGCGATATTTAGTTGTTGGTTGGTATGTAGACTTAAACTCATCAAATATTAGTTACAGCTAATAATTACGTTGATCGAGCGCGCGCGCGCGCGCGACAATAATTCCATTAATTTCAAGTAATGCCGGACTTGCTCGCGCGAAATGGAGCGATGGAGTGTTTCACAGTGTCCTGTGTGTTTGTTTAAGCTTTCCAATCGCGAATATCAGAGCGAACATTGTTCTTTATGGGAATCGCAGCGTGCACTACCTCGCGAATCGTGAAGGTATAATTCAAAGGACGCGAAAACGCGGACACGGCGCGATTGATAAAACAACGGGCGCGCGAGCGTTAAGCACTTCACCGTGACGCGAAGTTTTATTGCATACAAAATATATCAAAAAGTGAAAAAAGAAAAGCACACAACAGGCACGCTACATATCGGTGCATGCGTCCCGACCATTTTTGACAGGGATAAAGGAAAATAAAAAAAAATACGGACGTTTCGACGGCCAGCGATTCCAGGCGCTGTACGCTCTGCTGCATGCTCTGCAAGCATCGTCGCCCGAAATATGATCGTCATGAATTTACGTCGCGATTCGTCGTGTCACCGCCGCGCGAGTCGCGAATCGTCGCGTATTATCTTAACGCGCGCCGTTCGTCTTGATGCGTTTTTGGCGTCCGGAATGGCGCGGCAAGACAAAAGGCACGACGACGGCCGCGAAGGTGCCGCGGTTATCTCCCGCCAGGCCGCGTTAATTATTGTCATTTTATAAGCATCCGCAGACGCTTGTAAGATAACAACGAAGTTGCGCCTGGACGAGTATCTCATTCGCGTGACACACAGAATGCGCCGGGCCGTTGTTGTTTCACAGTGCGTTGGTGTTTTGCATGAATAAACACGTCGTGGCCGCCGCTGTTGTTCACGACAGGATGGACTTTGTCGGGCGTTGCCAAAATTTCACCGCTCGCGCGCGAGGCTCGCGGAACGATCGAAAAATCGGCGTAACTCGTAACCGTTGTTTCTTACTTCTTTCCTTGAGGGTTCATCTACATAAGTCCCGGTCTACAATGACTTGTGACTTAATCCGTAAGTCTTAAAAAATTGATCACAGTCGATTATTTTGCTTACATTTGACTGTGATTGGTCAATTTCTTAAGGCTTAAGGCTTAAATTAGTTATTATAGGCCGGGACTAAAGGGCCAACTACAATGGAATTAAGGTAGTAGACAGTAAAACACGTAAGCAGTAAGCAAATTAACCAACCACAGTCGAGACCAACCACATTATTACAAGAACAATTGCTGTTCTGCAATTGTGGTCGTGAATGCTAAAAATAAAATAAAAGTAAAAACCAATCAGTCAGTTTTATTGCTTTATCTCGAGTTATACGATAGTACGATACTACGTTATGATAGTATAAAATAAAAAAACAATGGCCACTACAGTGCGTACACGCAGTGAGCACTTTGTGTGAACCAATCATAGTATAAAATGTTTTGATTAGCTGCTGGTTTGGACGCGAAAGTTGAGGTTTCAAAAGTAGGCGATTTCAATTCTGTGCGTCCTGTGTATTGCAATCTGCGACCAGTAACGGCCGGGAACACATCGCATTGCGTTTGATCTTGCGGTTTGCGACCCGCGTCCTGCGTAGATGGGTCATCATGGGTCGTCATGTGAGAGAAAGAGAGAGAGAGAGAGAGAGAGAGAGAGAGAGTTTGTTCCACTGCGCGCACCGCCACATCCCTCGTCGTGTGATCGCGCACATTTTTTCTCCGGCCCTCTAGTCTTTACACACTCCAGTTCATCAGAGTGCATCAGATAAGCCCGCAAAACACGCTTTCGCGCGGTGCATTCGTGTCCGATGCATCGCGCACGAATGTACGTTCGCTACGTTATTCAATCGTATGTCCACAATGCTCGCAGCCCTTTCTGTCTTATTAATAGCACTTAGCCGCATTTACATCGAGTTTACATTACCTAGCGATAGCTGCTGCTGCTGCCGCAGTATTTGTCGCGCGATGGGTACCCCAGCGACGGCGATGGCTCTGCTTGGCCCTGCGCGCGTCGCCCTCTCGGTGCTTACGAATGATCGATCAACATCTCGCGCGGTCACCGGACTAAGCGATAGCGATCGGCCGTTATTGCTCGTACCAGGCGTAATGACGTTAATGGTCGAGGAACGGCCGGTTACGCGCTGGCCGATAATGTTCTTCCTCGTCTCCTCCGAGGCCGCAGAGGCCGCAGAGAGTGAAAAATGTGTTTGAGTCGTGTAAATAAACGTTAGAGGTGTACTCTCGTGCGCGAACACGGACTATCGTCCCGCAGATACCGCCGGGCTTGTCTCGCTCCGAAAAGCGCTTGAAAAATAACGCCTCCGCGAGCACTAATTGCGAGTACCGCGAGGAAGACGCGGAAAAACAGAGGAAGAAAGTGAGAGAGAGAGAGAGAGAGAGAGATTTATTAAGCCTTGGGATAAAATTCCTTTCAAACACGCAGTAGCAGGAATTATAGTATTTATAAAAGTATAATGGAAGAGAAAAAAAAAGAGAAAAAATGTTGTAGCAGATATAACGCAACGATATAGTTATATATAGAAAAATGAAAAGAGGGCAGAACAAATTCCATTTGCAAAGGACAAAACAAAATTTAAGCACACATTGGAAAAACGCTGAAAAAACTTCATTAGGAGTATGATAATGTTGGTAACAAAATATAAAAATTAATTAAATTAAATAATATAATTAAATAAAATAGTGAGAAAGTAATAATGGCAGAATATAACACAAGAATACAAGAGAGAGAGAGAGAGAAAGAAAAAAAGCTGCAAGAGAGAGCGCGTTATAATATAATAAATTGCGCGTTTGGCCGGTCCGCAAATTACGTTGGACGGTTGTTTACCCGCTTTAGGGTGGAGTAATTTAACTAATTTAACTTTTTGTTTTAAATTATGGAGATGAGAGACGGACACACCGCGCAAGTTTTAGAGAGTCGCGCAAGGCTCTAATACGCGTAATCCCGTCGCGCGATATCATCGCCGTCGTGGCTTGCGTGTAGCCGGGCTGATCGGTCGCTCGTCCGCGACATGTCAGACGTGTCCCGATAAAACGGTTGGAACGGTATCCACAATTAGCTCAGGGATTAATTACGTGTGGGAATCAGTAGTTGTTTCACGCAATGGCTGAAATATAATTCGCGCTTTTCATAATCAATTCTCCGTCTGTGAAGAAATGTTCCTGCAAAATACAGAATATATCGCTGGTCTCGAATTTTGTTTTCCAAGAGAGTGTTGCCTTTATCTCCGAAGAAGCTCGGCTTCCTCCGCTTCTTGCCTGGAACGAAATCCACAGTTAGCTCAGGGATCAATTACGCGTAGGAATTAGTAGCTGTTCCTAAAATAATTCGCGCTTCTCACAATGAATTTTCCGCCAATGAAGAGATGTTTAAATACAGA